ATAAACCTTCCCCCTTAAACTTTGAGTGTCAGATATTTTACCTCAGCAATGAGAGAAAAGTAACTAAGGCAGCATTTGGTACCAGAGAAGCAGGGTCACTGCTGTAACTCTACCTGATCATGTGGTTCAAGAGCTCTTGGAACTGACGAGGGAAGAGTTTGGAAAGGTTCAAAGATGCTAGCTAAAAGAGTAGCCCTGGAAAGCCTTAGGCTGTACCTGATGGGAGATTCTGGTCAGAGCTCGTAAGACCATAATGCTGACAGACATGCTCCTGGTAAAGACCAGGCCCAGGAGGTTTTTGCTGGGAAGAAGGACTGCATTGGCTGTTGGACTTCAGACAATGTGTGTTGTGGCTTGGCAGAAAGTTTGCCTGCCTTTTATTTATGTCCAGAGACTCTGCCTGAGAATGAGATTAAGAGTAGCAGACTAGTGGGCTGGGGGTTTAGCTCAGCGGCACAATGCCTGCCTGGCAAGTGCAAGGTCGTGTTTGATCCCTGGTACCGGAAAAAAAAAAAAAAAAAAAAACCCAAACAACCAAAGAGTAGCAGACTAGGGGTCAGGGATGTAGCTCAGCGGCACAGCACCTGCCTGGCAAGTGTGAGGTCCTGAGTTCGATTCCCGGTACCCCCCCCACCAGAAAACAAAGGGTAGCAGACTAATTAATCTGGCAGAACAAATTTCAAGGCAATCTAACGTCGAGGTGGTGCCATGGCTACTCTTAGGGGCTTTTAGCCAGATTTATTTTGAGAATAAAGAGCAAAGAGCCCAACAGTATAATTCAAAACAGTGAGTTTTGCCAGAAAGGAAGCTCTAATTAAGTTCCCCTACACCCTGCCTTGAAGCCAGCCGATTATGGACTGAAACCTCTACAAATTATAAGCTAAATAAACTTTTTCTCCTTTAACTTTGGGTGTCAGGTATCTTGTCTCAGCAACGAATAAGACATCCTATAAAATAATTGGCCAGTGGGCGCGGTGGCGCACACCTGAAATCCCAGCACTTGGGAGGCTGAAGCAGGAGGATCACCGCAAGTTAGAGGCCAGTCTGGGCTTACGTAGTGAGTTCAAGGCCAGCCTGCACTACATAGTGAAAACCAGTCTCCAAAATACCCGACAAAAAAACAAAAAATAATTGGCCAGTCCTGTTCAGGAGTTTATAGTCTAGTTGGGCATGATGGCATATGCCTGTAATCCCAGCACTCAGGAGGATGAGGCAAGGAGGATGGCTGTGAGTTTGAGGCTGTCCTAGACTACATAGTGAGTTCAAGGTCAGCCTAAACTACACTGTGAAACCCTGTCTCTAAAAAATAATAAACAAAAGGTTACAGTCATAACCCAAGCACAGTGGTGAATACCTATAATCTCAGCACTTGTGAGGCTGAGGCAGAAGGATTCCAAGTTTAAATCCCACCTGAGCAATTTAGTCAGACACTGACTCGAAATAAAAAATAAAAAGGGTTGGGAACACAGCTCAGTGGAAAGACTCTGGGTTCATAGCTCAGTGGGAAGACCCTGGGTTCAATTCTTAGTACTGGAAAAAAAGAAGTTTATTTACAGTCACATAAGACAAACAATGAGGAACTGTCACAGATTGGAAAAAAATAAGCTAAAGAGACTTCACTACATCTGATTTGAGATCCTGGATTGGGGTCCTAGAATAGAAAGAGGATTAGGTCAAACAGCAAACTTTGAATAAAATCTATAGCTTAGTTATCAGGATCTTATCAATATTAAATTTCTTGGTTAGATATTTTTAATATAGTTAAATGTTAACATGAGGAGAAATCAGGTGAAGGGTTATAAGAAGTGAATGGAATATTTTTTAAGTTTTTATTTTTGAGATAGGGTCTTGCTATGTAGTACAGGTTGGCCTTGAACTTGCTTATGTAGCCCATTTGGTCTCACACTCATGGAGATCCTCCTGGCTCAGCCTCCCAAGTGCTGGGATTACACGTGTGCAACACCATGCCTGGCTTTTAAATTTTTTAAAGTTGTTTTAAAATAAAAAGTTTAAAAGTAACATATATGACACAGATCACAAACTGGCAAATTTTTTTCTGTAAAAGGTTATTTTAGACTTTGTGGACCATATGTTCTTTTGTAACTACTCAACTTCACTATTATAGCACTAAAGCAGTCAAAGGTAATACGTAAGTAAATGGCTATGGTTAAAATAAACGCTGACATTCAATTTTCATATTAAGTGCCACGTATTATGAAATATTTTGATTTATTCCCCACTTAAAAATGTGGACTGGATGTAGTGGTGCATGCAGAGCTATTCTATTGGTTAGCAGATTATTTTCTTTACTTTTTTGTCTTTTTGAGACAGGGTCTTGCAGAACTTGGGAGGCTGAGGCAGGAGAATCACTTCAAGTTTATGTGAGGCCAGCGTGAACTGCATAGCGAGACCCTGTCTCAACAACAACAACAAAAAAGTGAAAGCCATTCTTAGTTATTGGTCATGAAGAATCAAGCAACTGGGCTACAATTAGCCCATAAGTTCTGACTCTAGGTCAGAATTTGCCAATGTATGCTTCAATTCAGAAAGAGGGGAAGAGGGTTCACATCAAATAAATTTGGCAACACTAGATTAAACGAGTGAAACAGGGTATTATTCTAGCTTTCAAGCCTATTTATTTATTGCAGGATCTTTTAGTGCCTTCATGTGGTACTAAACACAGAAGTTCTAAGAAAGAATAATGGTATCATACAGCTTTCCCAAAATTACCGTGGAACCTTATTTCTCAGTCACATAAGACAATATAATAATACAAAAATAACCAGTGGTCTGAAGAAGACACTTATTAAAGCACCAATTCAGATACTTTTAACTCCCAGATTGAGAAGTTTTTAAAACTCCAACAAATAAAAAGCATTTTACCCAGCGCCCATACATGTAAGATCTGAGTAAGGATTTCATAACTTTTTTTCAATCTTAAGAAACACAAATAGAAAAGCATGACCTTTTGGGGAGCGGAGGTTATTAAGATGATCAACAGAATTCAGTCGTATATATATGTGCTGCCGAAGCGAGCACCAGAATTCAGTCATAATATGGAATCTCTGCTCCATAAGACAACAAAAAACCCTGTTAAGCATTCTAACAAGTGGCAGAAAAGTGATCTAGTGATTATATGAGGAAATCTGATGAGAAATTTGATTAGAAAACTAAAGCTATGCTAGAAGCATCATCTATAGATTACATCTAAGTGAGGATAAATTGACAAGTCAAGTCCGTGAAGACTGGCTTTATATACTGAATGGAAACCTAGCCCACAGGCTATAAAAATTCTCTCACATCTACACACACTGCTGGAAGAAGAAAAGTTTAAGAAGGATTTATGTCCCAGGGAGAAGGCTGGCATGACCAACTTCAAGGGGCCCTCCATTCTATGCACCAAAGAGTTCACTGGCTCCTCTCTGTCACACGAACTCTTCAGAGGCGTTTACAAGTTGTTAGAAAATAAATTACTAGCTGGTGTGGTGGCACACACCCGTAATCCCAGCACTCAGGAGGCTGAGGCAGGGGGATCGTTGCAAATTCGAGACCAGCCTGGGCTACAAAGTGAGTTCATGGCCAGCTTGAACTGCGCAGTGAGACCCTGTCTCAAAAAGAAAAGAAAGTAAGCCACTAACCGATAGAACAGCTCTGTTTAATAATTCATACAACAAACATTTCAGACATCTTTATCAGATGTGGAGTCATTTCAAAGTCCTCTGAAAAGACAGATGGTTCTTAGGAGAACCAGGAAGAGATAAACTCAACTATATTGGACTTACATATGGGAGATGTATGTAGGAGGACAGAGGAGACATGAAAAACATATTTACTCTGTTAGTACAGCCAGTGCTACGAAGATTAATATAACCACATAGAATAAGAGACTTTCACCTTGGAAAGGTCTGTCATCTAACACCTGTGTAACTTCTTCCACAACCAGGTAATACCCCCCGTCATTCGTCACCTTTGATGATTCTTCCACTGAATTCTTCTACTAAGTTAAAAAATCTTGTGTTCCTGTACAATCTGCCTATTAGTCCTAGTTCTGCCTGTCTGCTCCAAAGACGATATGGAAGCTCTCTTTTCTATATGTTTTTTTTTTTTTGTGTGTGTGTGTGTGTGTGTAAGACAGTTATTTTCCTTTCAGTGTTCTCTTTTCTAGGCTACGGCCCAGTTCTTCCCAAGTTCCAGAAATGGCCCCAGATGCCTCAAAGCGAAGAAAGAAAAGCACTTAAAACCAAAGGGGCTTCAAACATCAATATGTACAAGACTCCAGACGTGCACGTTCAAAAGACGTTTCCTGGGTTCGAAACTCAGATTCTAAGGGGCTGGGGATTTAGCTCAGTGGCACAGCGCCTGCCTGGCAAGCGCAAGGTCGCGAGTTTGATTCCCGGTACCGGAAAAAAACAACAACAACAACAACAAAACAAACAAACCAGAAACTCAGATTCTAAACCAGTTGTTTGAGTCCCAACACTGCAGAGTCGGTATTTCAGAGGATCTCAAAGTAGATGGTATAAGAACCGTATTTTAAGAAACACTGTCCCGTTTTACACATGAGAAAACTAGTCTCAGCACAGGGAAAAGATTTGGCCTAGAATACATAATTCGCTGTCCGCGGCGAAGTCTCAACCTCTTATCTCTTTGTTACTCTCACCCCAAATCAGTTCACCTCGTCATTAAATACACTCCCACAGGTCAGAGGCGGTCCCGTACGGGGAAAAGAAAGGAAGTCAGGTGAGCCCTAGGCTGAAAAGGAAGCCCTTCTTCCCTTTCTCAAGGTTTCAGTTTCCCCCGATCTGTACTCGTGGAAAGGAAGACACCACCCTGACCTTTCTTCTGGGACAGAGAGCACTCGGCGCGGCCAGGCTATTCTCCCTGGCCCGCCTGGCTCGGGTACGGAAGCCCGTGAGCCCGGGAAAGGCGGCACAGGGTCTCCCGCCCTCGCCCCCAGCCTCCATGCCCCTGCCACCCCGCCCCGCCAGCCTGTCAGGTACCTGTCTCCGCGCAGGGAACGCTGCTGGGGCCGCTTCAGGCTACCAGCCTCTCGGTCTGCCCGCCAGTCCTACGCCTCGTCAGTCTGTGGAACTAGACCTCTGACCCCTCCTACGCGCGGACTCCGGTCACGCGGAGCCGCCCCTCTCGAAGAGACTTCCGGCCACGACCGGAAAAGGTTGGTTCGTGGATCCATTATCCCGCCCAGGTCCGGGCGCTAAGGTTCCGCCTACAGGCAGGAAGTGGCGGGACACCGGATCCATTTGGTAGTTTTGAAAAGAGCCTGGGCTCCGGGCTGCTTTAAGAAAAGGATGATTCCGAAGTAAATTAGATAAGCTTAGAATGTCTTGCTTCACCAGAGTGTAGAGACGACGGGTAATAAGAACGATGGGGACGTGTGAAAGGAAACCGGAGCTACCGTGGAGATTCCACTGGCCGAATTTGGCAACTTCCCTATAAAAGTACATGATCGTAATAGTGTACAACTAGTTGAATAAAATATTCACAAATTTTTACTGACATAAATGAAAAAGTGAATAAAAAAGTGAAGAAAGCAAACCCTTCCTTTTAGTAAGTGGAACATCGTGTTCCATAATGAACATGGTGGAGTTAGAAAAATCATAGGTGATAAAAGTAGAGAAATAGGATGTTTACACAGAATGTCTCCCATATTCTTTATTGATTACAAAGGGATATTACTGTTAGGGAGGTGTAACCTAGCAGAACGAATGAATCAAAGTGATCAAAGGTAACAGGGGCAAAGTCATGACACAGAGCACACTAGAGAGACAGAGGACAAACTCCTGGGACCTTAAAAGCATAACTTGTGTCTTCTAACACAGACTTAAGCATGGCTTTTGCTAAACAAGGGCCTTTCACTTGGGCCTACAAATGCCCAATAGGTAACTAAAAGTACCACAAAACTTGACCTTCATTTTGTAAGACCGGAGTCAAATCCTTTGCGGCTCTGCATATAGGCATGTTAGTATTTTAGGGAGTGTCTATCTAAAGTTGGGAAAATAAGCTTTAGTAGCCCCGAATTTACTAAGCCTATCTCATTATCCTTTTAAGATTGACAACACCAGGAGAAAAGAGTTACAAGGATGTTCCACTACTCTCAGAATTGCCGTTGCCCTAAACCTATGGCTGCCTTTAAGCCCAGCAGAGCCGCTCAAAGACTGAAATTGCTCCTTAAGTCATGAAGAGTCCTCTGGAACAATGCAACCAGGACTGAGATAATGACTGACTGGACCCCACCCCTAAAACTGGCCCCGGAGTCCTTTGTTGTGGGCCAATCTGATCCTCTTTTTCAGAGTGTGTATCCTCCAGCTATTAGTCGATCTGGGATCCTTTCCTTATCTTCTCTTACCTTCCCATGAAAGCTTTGCATGTGAAGTCATATTGTTGATTTAGTTTTAATTTTCATTATCGCTAAGGCAAAGACCGATGCTAGCTGGTGATATCATCAGTTAAGGGTCGAGTAGAGGTCATGTGCCTCTTAGTAAGATGCACAGAGAGGGACACAACATCTTTTTTGTTAAAAGTGCATGGCCTTGGGGTTGAATTCATGAGGTCCTGGTTTCCATCTTCCACGGGGAAACAAAAAAGTACATGGCCCAAATCTCAATCCCATGAGGAAGCATTGGATAAACATATTGAGGGACACTATAAAATAACTATTAGGTCATGAAAAGCTGAGGAACTGTTTGAGCATGAAAGAAACTGGAAGTATGTGACAGAAATGTGGTGTGTGATTCTAAATTGGATCCGGGACTGAGATGATGTAGCAAAATAGCTGTAAAGGACAATATAGGGACAAGTAACACAATTTGTATATAAATTGTGGATTACTTATTGATATATATTGTATCAAATCACATACTGACTGGTGGTAGAACTGCAGTTTGCTCCTAGGCAATTGTCCTTAACTATCATCTTCATCATTTCATTCCTTCAAGAAACATTGAAGGGTCCACAATTATCCACGGGACTGGGCCTGAATAGACAGTAGCCATACCGTAACAGATGAAATTAACTTACACAAGAAAATCTGTCAGCTATGGACAAGAAGTAACATGGGAAGAGCCTGGCGTGGTGGCGCACGCCTGCAATCCCAGCACTCAGAAGGCTGAGGCAGGAGGACTGTTGTGAGTTTGAGGCCAGCCTGGGCTACAAAGTGAGCTCAAGGTCAGCCCGAACTGCATAGGGAGACCTTGTCTCAAAAAGACAAAAAAAAAAAAAAAAAAAAAAAAAAAAAAAAGAAGTAACATGGGGATGTTCCCAGTAACTCAAGCCTAGCTATGAGTTCATACACTGAGAAAGAGAAAAGCAGCTGCTGACATCCAGGAGCTTGCCTGGCACCCATAGGGAGGCCCTAGCGTTCTCCTGTTGAATATAAAAATTTCACAAAACATCAGTATTGAACATGGTCACTCTGTGACCAGAATAGATCAAGATAATATGAACCCATCCAGATAATACATTAGCATTGTTCAAACCACAACAATGAAAAAACAAAAATTCCCTACCTCAACTCATATAGAGATTATGGTTTTAGGATCAGTATATTCTCCCCTCCTTCTAGAAAAATTTATCAGCGTGTCCATTTATAGACAGCATCTAATCCAGCTCAAATCACCTACTTCCTGAATTCCTCCTCCAAATCACCTAACACAAGCATTGACATGCCCCGCTGTGCTTTGAGGTTTGCATCCTGCCACAACAAGTGATCAACCAACTGTTTAACCACAGATGCATTCTGATTTATTTCTGCTTCAAAAAATTTCTTTCTTCTT